ATGACAGCCCTCTACACTACCGCAGAAGGCTCTCCAAGAAACTCTCTTGGCTTTCTTCAACTCGGACTTGTAGATGGCCAGTCCGGCCTTGTACAACGCCCAGTCGTCGCCAGAGCCGCTTCTACGGGCTTTGTTGAACAGTCTTCTGCTCGAAGATCTGATCTCCGTTAGCTCCGAAGTCCACCAAGGGGTTTCCCTTTGATTTTCTGAGTTCTCAGAGGACAGGAGCTGTCAAGAGTTGTTCTACTAACAGAGCTGAAAATCTCGACGAGCTCATCAACCGCATCCGCCGATAGGATCGAATCCCTGTCGGGTGCGGGTGGCAGAGCTGATCCTGCAGTACCGGACCCAGTTGGTATTCCTAAAATTTCTATAGGTTTTGAGTTCCGGGCATGAGGCTTTCAAGCTGAAACCAATATATCTATGATCCGAGAATGAATGGTCGTCTAGAACCCTCCATTCCGAAATCAAGGGAGCGATTTCTCTAGAGGCTAGCATAATGTCAAGGACTTCCGCCCTGCTAGCAGTAACAAAAGTAGGGCTGTTCCCCCTATTACAAATAGAAAGATCTGCTCTACAAATAAAATCAAAGAGTGACTCACATCTTGTGTTAATGTCCGAGCTCCCCCAGACGGTGTGCCTTGAATTTGCATCCGAGCCTATTAAGACACCGGCTCCTTTGCGCCTGGCCTCTGCCAGGGCTCCTCTCAGCAGGTTCGGAGGTGGCTCCACCTCGTCGTCGTGCGTCATGTAGGCTGAGAACAGCCAGAGTTCTCCAGCGCTGTCCTCCAGTCTAGCAGCGACGACGTCCTCGTTGCTGAACTTATGTAAAAGAAAAACGTTAAGCTCGTTTCTGATTAACAAGCAGGCTCTGGTTCTACCTGTACTGTTTGCGGCCAGGAGCTTGTGGCTCTTTGTCCTTAGACCAGAGATACCGTTGCTGCTCAGCCACGGTTCCTGGATAAGGACAACGTCGGCTTCGTCCCGTCCTAGACGAAGCACTAGATCGGCGGAGGCCACCTTCGAGTGCTGGAGGTTAATTTGGAGGATCCTCATCCTCCAAACTCCTCTCCAGCAGTGCGAGATCCGCACCTTCATCCGTACTATCGACCCCAGCAGCCTCAAACAGACGGTCGAGACTGAAAACGGATCCATCATCGACTGACGATCCGCCCCCCCGTGCTCACCGTATCCGAGAGGATGGGGTCGATATCCATTTTAGAGTGGGTCGCTCTCCCACTCTCTTCCACCTCAGCTGGTGGTGACTCGCCATCAGCCCTGGCTTCATTTGGGAGAATCCTGAGGACGACCCTCTCGAAGCCATAGCTTATGGCCCCCTTTGCACTGCTGAGAGGAGCGAGGGACTCCTTATTTAGGAGTATCAGCGCTTGCCGATATGGTTCCTCGGTCCTCTCCAGCCTAACCACCTTCCAGTCCTGGGTGGGAAGA